GCCCCAGGTACGGCCCCCCCCCAGGCCCCCCCACCAAGTGCCCTGGTGTTGGTGCTGGGGGGTCCCCAGGTGCAGGGGCCTGGGGAGGTGTGTGTGAGGATACTTAGTATCTACATAACCCTCAGCTCTGGGTGGCTGGGGAAAAGGCAAAGTCCTAGGGCTGAGGCCCCCTTAAGTTCGTGGCTGTGACACCATCAGAATGGAGGGTGGAAAGGGTTAAGAGCAGCTACAGTCAGAAGGGCTTTGTGCCCCACCATCACCACGCCCACGTGGTTTGGTGCTGGGCTGGCAACTCCGATCCAGCAGGATATGTTTCCTCCCTCCTCCCCCATGCCCACCCAGCACCCTTGTTCCTCCTGGTGAGGTAATCCCCAAACTCCCGCTTTGCTGCTTGGCACTGTCCCTACAGCCAGGGCAGGACAAAGGATTTCCACGGCATTTATTTCCAGCGTGATCAGTGGTACATGGGTACAGCGGTGTAGTCTGATGCCTGGGCAATGCTCAGGAGGGCAAGGGAGCAGGGAAAGGGGGGTGCCCGGGGGCCTGCACCCCCGCGAAGACGCAGGAGCAGGTAGATGATGCTCTTGTTCTGGATGCCGTAGTGCGCCAGTGTGTGTCGGTCCTCCAGCTCTTTGGAGCAAAACGTTAGGCGCTGCTGGTCCACAGGAGGGCCCAGTCGGTTGCAGATCTGCTCCTTGAGTTGCCGGACAGTGTCGGTGGGCTGCATGGTGTAGGTGCTCGTGCGGTTCTTGTCGTCCTTCACCAGGACATCCATCTCCTGGGTCTCGGTGTGCAGCAGCACCAGTGTGGTGCTGTAGAAGATGTTGTAGGTGGCCAGGGTTTCGCTGTCCCGCAGGACGCGGAGAGTCTGGCCTGGCTCCTGCTGGCCCAGGCGCTGCTGGTGTAGAGGGATGCCCCACTGCTGCATGATCTCTCTCTTCAGGTTCAGGATGGGGGTGTCCGGGCTGATGGTTCTGGTCAAACTGGTGCCTACCAGTCGCTTTATCTCCACTGTCACGGGCTGGGCTGGCTGTAGGGGGAGAGAGCAGGTAGGTGAGGGCAGCAGGGGCATGGTCTGAGGACTTCGACACCCTCAGGCGCGGGCAAACCTACCTGCACATCCCAGGGCTGGGCAGAAGTGATGCAGGGCAGAGAATAGCTCCGAGCAGCTTCATCTGCCACCACCGCCCAATTTTTGTTTTGGCCCAGGATCCCCGTCGGGTCGGCAGGGTCCAGGATCACAGGGCTGTGAAGACACACGTGGGCCCTGTCATCAGTGCTGTGCCAGGGTGGATGGGCACGCCGCAGTGGTGCCCATGGCCCCTGCCCGAATGCCAGCTCCACGTGGGAGCAGCACCTAGGGAAGGTAGTGCCTGTGGTGCGAGTGGCACAGGCAGTGCCTGGGCTGGGGACTCTCACCGTGGGCTGCACAGCAGGTTCTTCACGTGGGCGCCCACCTCAGCATGCTGGAGCGAGTAGTACTTTTCCCAGTAGATGACGATCTCCTGGTACCGGCACAGCAGCTCCAGCACCGTGCGGAAGCCCTCAGCCATGTTGAAGCCCTCTTTGGCACCTGTGCCCTGCTCCCATGCGTAGATGGTCAGCAGCTCCAGGGCATACTTGGGGGGCAGGTCTCCGTCGGGGTACCGTGGCTTCAGGAGCTGGGAAGGAGATGAGAATGGGTGAGAGCCAGCAGGCAAGGGCACCCTGGGGTGTGGGATGGATGCCGGGTGGCCCATGCAGGTGCAGCAAGGCCAGGGCAGCCCCTCACCTCCTTGTACCAGTGCTTGACCAGGCGCAGCAGGTTCTTGAGCTTGGCAGGGCAACGCTTCACAAATTTTTTCTGCAGTTCAGTGAAGCAGGGGGAGAATTCGCCAGGGCCACTGGGTGCAGCCAGGAGCCTAACGTACACATCAGCAGCTGGCGCAGCGTCCTGAGTCACCTGGCCTGTGGGATGAGAGGGAGCTGCAAGAGTCGTCCCAGCATCACTGCCCCCCCAGCCCCGCGTCCATTGGGCGCAGACCCATACCCAAGGCATCATAGGCAGGCAGGACATCTACATCGATGGACTCCGCACATGACTTGGACTGGAGAGTAAGGCTAAGGGAGCGTGAGGGGAAGCCAGAGCCCTTGAGCCGGGGCCTGCTGATGTTCACAGTGAACGTCAGCTTCTGTCTGCAGCATTCGAGCCTCTCCTCGATGAGAGCAAGGATTTCAGCTCGCCTCTGCGTCTGATCCTGGTAGCTGGAGAAGCAGCTGAGGAAGAGCACCACGTCAGCGTCAGAGTTGTTCTGCAGGGCCGTGCCCTTGCCTGCTGAGCCGCCCTGCGGAGGGACATAGCACCTGCTCAGCACCACTGCCTTGTGCGGGCAAGGCATGGGGGAAGGACTCATGCCATTCACCAGAGCTGCTAAGGGAAACTGAGGCAGGGCATGAGCTGAACGTGTAAGGCAGGGGGGAGGGTGGCACTGGGTGCCCTGCCAAGGAGGGAGCTGCGAGGCCCACCTGGCAGTGAGAAGACTTGGCATGGCAGGGCTCATGGTGCCCAGAAGACCCCTTCCAGGCAGCACTCACCTTGACAGTCTTGTGGACGCGGATGCCCTGGAAGCACTGCTCCTTGAGGAAATCGCAGATCTGCTTCACCGTCTGCTTCACCTGTATGCGGAAAGCAGTGCTGGGCTCCAGGGTCCTGGCGATCCAGGCGTCCAGGTCACGGGCAGTCACCGTCTCCAGCCCATCCATGGCTGGCACTTGCCCCAGCGCCATCCTCCTTCTGAGTCTCTGGCCCTCTCCTGCCTGCAGCTCTTTTTAAACCTTCCCAGGCTGCCGCTCTGATGGCGTCACAGCGAGGAACTTAAGGTAGCCCCAGCCTTGGAGTTTCGGTTCTCCCTCAGCCACCCAGAGCTGAGGAACACTGCTAGACACTCCCAGCCCGGGCCCTTGTGCCTGGGGATACCCCAGCATCCACCCTGGGAACCCCTCACCCCCACCCTATGGGCCTGGGGGGGGGGGGGT